GACATTGCCCAGGGGACGCCCGGATGATTTGATGTTTTTATCATCCTTGTGGGAGGCTTCTCTCATGTCCCCGCATGAGGAGCTGGAGCTGATAGAGGGAGCTCATCCGCCTCTCTGATATGAACACACTATTATTATTGTCTTCCACACTCTCTCTCTAAAAAAGATTCCTAAAGTGGCTAACATAAAACAAAATACAATATACAACTTAAAACTGTAAATAAAATTAAACATTGAAACTATTGAAAATAAACAGTTAAAACTATTTCAACCAATTAAAAACCTAACAAGGAACCGATATCAATGCACACACACTTAAACCATGATATGAAAACACAAACCTATCTACTTAAACTCACAGATATTTAGGGCACTTCCACACAGATGAATAAAATCCCACATTTTCTGCTTTGAAGTGGATTATATGGCACTATGGACTCAGTTAACCCAGTTCAAAGCAGATATTGTGGATTATCTGCCTTGATATTCTGGGTTATATGGCTGTGTGGAAGGGCCCGAAGACACATGTTTGTCTCTACTTAAACACAGGTGAGAACAGACACAATATGTTTTAACAGGCATGACACACACACAAATATAATAAAAACAAATATATGAACACACACAACCTTGACTTAAAACACATGAAGTCAACAACACACAGCAGGCTAAAACCTTTTTATTCAAGCACACATTTAAAGATGAACGTGTTTAAGGGCCTTTCTACACAGTCATATACCCCAGAATATCAAGGCAGAGAATCTATAATATCTGCTTTGAACTGGGTTATCCAAGTCCACACTGCCATATAATCCAGTTCAATGTGGATTTTATACAGTTGTGTGGAAGAGGCTGAGATCTAGCCAGGGGATACAATTTTTTTAACTTTGAATGTTTGATGGACTGTAACTGATTTTTTAAAATACTGTTTGTGTTTAATGCTGTTTTAATGTTTGCATATTTGTATATTTCAAATTGGATACCAATGCTTTTATGTCAAGCTGCCTTGAGTCCCCTTTGGGGAGATAAAGCGGGGTATAAATAAATGTGTGTGTTTATTTGTTCAGTCACTTCCGCCTCTTCGTGACCTCATGGAGCAGTCCACTCCAGGACTTCCTATCCACCTCGCCACCCCCAGCTCCTTCAGGGTTGAGCCAGTAACTTAAAGGATAACCTCCAGCCCTCTTGCCTTCGGTCGGTCCCTCTTCCTTTTTCCTTCCATTTTCCCCAGCATTATTATCCTCTCCAAGCTTTCCTATTTTTCTCATTATGTGGCCAAAGTACTTCATGTTTGCCTTTAATATCCTTCCCTCCAGTGAACAGCCGGGCTTTATTTCCTGGAGTATGGACTGGTTTGATCTTCTCGCAGTCCAAGGCACTCTCAGAATTTTCCTCCAAGACCACAGTTCAAAACCATTTCTCTTCCTTCGCTCAGCCTTCTTTATGGTCCAGCTCTCGCATCCATAGGTTACTACGGGAATACCACTGCTTTAACTATACAGACCTTCATTGCCAGTGTGATGCCTCTACTATTAACTCTTTATACAGATTGGTCATTGTTCTCCTCCCAAGAAGTAAATGTCTTCCAATTTCCTGGCTGCATCCGCAGCTGCAGTTATCACACCTAGAAATACAAAGTCTGTTGCTGCCTCCATGTTTTCTCCCTCTATTTGCCAGTTATCAATCAGTCTGGGTGCCACAATCTTGGTTTTTTCAATGTTTAACGGCAACCCAGCATTTGCACTTTTTTCTGTCATCTTGGTTATAAGGCTCCTCAGCTCCTTCTCGCTTTCAGTCATCAAAGTAGTATCATCCGCATATCTAAAAATGTTAATGTTTCTTCCAGCAATTTTAACTCCAGCCTTGGAGTTAAATAATAATAATAATAATAATAATAATAATAATAAGAACAAAAACAGATGAGAAGACACAAACTCTATTGTGTTTTATCTAATTATTAGTATTCTATTGTGTTTTATCTAACAGTTTTATTAGATAGAAGTAGGTACTTTTTAATACTCCTGCGTTTGATTCTATTTTATGAGTTAGGTTTTAATTTACACACAGTATGATAACTGTGAGAAATATAAATATAACAGTAATACACAGATATTACTATATTTATTATTATTAAAGTATTACAACTTAAAATTTGCTAATATACAATAATAAAACATGATTATCATTATATATTATCAGCATTATTATATATTATATCTGTCAGATCATTATATGCTAATCAAGGTGGTCAGTTGAAACATTCAAACCTAGCTCCAACAGACAAGAGTCCTTTGTCTCACCCTGGTCATTCCACAGATATATAAACCCACTTTCCTAGTTCCAACAAACCTCACTACCTCTGAGGATGCTTGCCATAGATGCAGGAGAAACATCAGGAGAGAATGCCTCTAGACCATGGCCATATAGCCCGAAAAAACCTACAACAACCCATTATTATATTTAATATATTCGTATTATTTTATTACAATATTATTATTATTATTATTATACTGTATTATTAGCATTACTGTATTGCATTCTATTATTAATATTATATGTATATATATATGAGCATATAACAATATTAGTATTGTTGTTGTTTATTCGTTCAGTCACTGACTTGTGACCTCATGGACCAGCTCATGACAAAACTCCCTGTCGGCCGTCACCACCCCCAGATCCTTCAAGGTCAAGACAGTCACTTCAAGGATACCGTCCATCCATCCCGCCCTTGGTCAGCCCCTCTTCCTTTTTCCTTCCATTTTCCCCAGCATCATTGTCTTCTCATGATGTGGCCAAAGTACTTCATCTTTGCCTCTAATATCTTTCCCTCCAGTAAGCAGCCAGGCTTTATTTCCTGGAGTATGGACTGGTTTGATCTTATTGTGGTCGAAGGCACTCTATTAGTATTACATATTATTATATTGTACTATACTGCAATATTATTAGTCATAGTATATATAATATATAATTATTATAGATTATTACATTGTACTGTATTATTATACTTTGTATTTCTAGGTGTAAAGATTACTGCAGATGCAAACTGCAGACAGGAAATCAGGAGACGCTTACTTCTTGGGAGGAGAGCAATGACCAATCTTGATAAAATAGTGAAGAGTAGAGACATTGGCAACAAAGATCCGCATAGTTAAAGCAATGGTATTCCCCGTAGTCACCAATGGATGTGAGAGCTGGACCATAGGGAAGGCTGAGCGAAGGACGATAGATACTTTTGAACTGTAGTGCTGGAGGAAAGTGCTGAGAGTGCCTTGGACAGCGAGAAGATCCAACCAGTCCATGCTTCAGGAAATAAAGCTTAACTGCTCATTGGAGGGAAGGATAGTAGAGGCCAAGATGAAGTGCTTTGGCCACATCATGAGAAGAAAGGATACCCTAGAGAAGACAATTATGCTGGGGAAAATGGAAGGAAAAAGGAAGAGGGGCCGACCAAGGGCAAGATGAATGGATGGCATCCTTGAAGTGACTGGATTGACCTTGAAGGAGCTGGGGGTGGTGACGGCCAACAGGGAGCTCTGGCGTGGGCTGGTCCATGAGGTCATGAAGAGTCGGAAACGACTGAATGAATGAACAATTATATTATGTCTCCAGAGGACAGGAGCAGGATTCAAAACGATCTTGACAGATTAGAGAGATGAGCCAAAACTAACAAAATGAAGTTCAACAGGGACAAATGCAAGATACTCCACTTTGGCAGGAAAAACGAAATGCAAAGATACAGAATGGGGGACAATGTCTGGCTCGAGAGCAATACGCGTGGAAAAGATCTTGGAGTCCTCATGGACAACAAGTTAAACATGAGCCAACAGTGTGACATGGTGGCAAAAAAAGCCAATGGGATTTTGGTCTGCATCAATAGGAGCATAGTGTCTAGATCTAAGGAAGTAATGCTACCCTTCTACTCTGCTTTGGTTAGAACACACCTGGAATATTGTGTCCAATTCTGGGCACCACAATTCAAGAGAGATGTTGACAAGCTGGAATGTGTCCAGAGAAGGGCGACTAAAATGATCAAGGGTCTGGATGACAAGCCCTATGAGGAGCTGGGGATGTTTAGCCTGAAGAAGAGAAGGCTGAGAGGGGATATGATAGCCATGTATAAATATGTGAGAGGAAGCCACAGAGAGGAGGGAGTAAGCTTGTTTTCTGCTTCCTTGGAGACTAGGACGCGGAACAATGGCTTCAAACTACAAGAGAAGAGATTCCATCTGAACATGAGGAAGAACTTCCTGACTGTGAGAGCTGTTCAGCAGTGGAACTCTCTGCCCCGGTATGTGGTGGAGGCTCCTTCTTTGGAGGCTTTTAAACAGAGGCTGGATGGCCATCTGTCAGGGGTGATTTGAATGCAATATTCCTGCTTCTTGGCAGGGGGTTGGACTGGATTGCCCATGAGGTCTCTTCCAACTCTTTGATTCTATGATTAAGGGCCCTTCCACACAGCCCTATATGCCAGAATATCAAGGCAGAAAATCCCACAATATCTGAGTTATCTGAGTTTACACACAGAGAATGTGGGATTTCCTCCCTTGATATTCTGGGATATAGGGCTGTGTGGAAGGGGCTTCAGTCCACACTGCCATATGTCCCAGTTCAGAGCAGATATTGTGGGATTTCCTCCCTTGATATTTTGGGATATAAGGCTGTGTGGAAGGGGCTTCAGTCCACACTGCAATATATTCCAGTTCAGAGCAGATATTCTGGGATATAGGGCTGTGTGGAAAGGCCCTCAGTCAGTCCTATCTATTCCCCCAGGCGCCATTTTGGCTGAGGGGGTTGCTATGACACGGAGTGGGCGGGGCCTAAAGGGGGCGGGGCCTATCCCCCTGACTGGCAGCCAGGGAGAGGAAGGCTCTTCCTCATCCTCGCCACCCCTCCCCCCGCGCCCCCCGCTTTTGAATTGGAGTTCTATGTGTTGCTGTCCGTGCGCGGAGGGAGGGAAGCCCCTCCAAGAAGAACAGCCCCCGCGGCTGGCTCTCTACCTGCTCTTCTCCGCGCGCCGGGCTCCCCCGTCAGCTGTAAACACAGTCGGCCCCCCTCAGGGCAAGTGCTTACTGCGCGTGCGCGGCGCAGGGCGGAGAGCAAAGGGGAAAAGAAGGGAACGTACCATTCGGGCCGAAAAGGGAGGGGGGAGTGAAAAATAGATATATAGACCAATCAGGGAAGGAGTGTACCATCTTAAGGGGAGGGAGGGGGGAAGGAAAGGAAAGTTCGTTGTATTTTGACATCACTTCTGCTCAAACTACAACTCCCATGATTCCTAGGATTGAGTCAAGGCAGTTAAAGTGGTATCAAGCTGCATTGATGCTACAGTGTAGATGCATCCTTATTTATCTTTATTGCTGCACTACCCTTGTAGCCTTTCTTAAAGTAAACAGACCAATAAAATATTATTATTATTGTTATTGTTAAATATTTAGCAAAACCACAGTAAAAGCCTTTTATTTTGAAATATTTCTACCATACCATTTGGAATATAAAAAATATATATAATTAGGCAGGTATTTTAATTATTACATAATGGCATACTATTAAAGTCAGAATTAAATATTTAAAAACTCTAAAATTGCAACAGCACAACCACAGAGAGGAAACAACCAGGCACATCTAATCACCTCTCAACAAAAGATTGCCCCAGGCTCAGCCAGGCCTTCAAATGCTAATGAAATTGGTCAGTTGAAACATTCACACCTAGCTCCAGCAGAGAAGAGCTCTTTGCCCCACCCCAGCCATTCCACAGATATATAAACCCATTGTCCTAATTTCAACAGACCTCACTACCTCTGAGGATGCTTGCCATAGATGCAGGCGAAACGTCAGGAGAGAATGCCTCTAGAACATGGCCATATAGCCCAAAAAAACCCGCAAGAACCTAGTGATTCCAGCCATGAAAGCCTTCGACAATACATACAACTCCCATGATTCCTAGGATTGAGTCAACGCAGTTAAAGTGGTATCAAGCTGCATTGATGCTACAGTGTAGATGCATCCTTATTTATTATTATTATTGCTGCACTACCCTTGTAGCCTTTGTTATAGTAAACAGACCAATAAAATATTTTATTGTTATCTATCTATCTATCTATCTATCTATCTATCTATCTATCTATCTATCTAATGTTCGTTTGTGATACCACCAGAACTCAAAAACCATTGGGGGAATTGACACCAAATTTGGACACAAGATACCTAACAACCCAATGTATGTCCTCCACTCAAAAAAAAACTGAATTTTGTCATTTGGGAACTGTTGTTGCTGGGATTTATAGTTTACCTACAATCAAAGAGCATTCTGAACTCCACCAATGATGGAATTGGGCCAAACTTAGCACACAGGGCTCCCATGACCAACAGAAAAAACTGGAAAGGGTTTGGTGGACATTGACCTTGAGTTTGGGAATTATAGTTCACCCACATCCAGAGAGCACTGTGGGCTCAAACAATGATGGATCTGGACCAAACTTGGCACGAATATTCCATATGCCCAAATATGAACACAGATGGAGTTTAAGGGAAATAGACCTTGACATTTGGGAGTTGTAGTTGCTGGGATTTATAGTTCACCTACAATCAAAGAGCATTCTGAACTCCACCAATGATGTAATTCAACCAAACATGGCATACAGGACTTCCATGACCAACAGGACACACTGGAAGGGTTTGGTGGGCATTGACCTTGAGTTTGGGAGTTGTAGTTCACCTACATCCAGAGAGCACTGTGGACTCAAACAATGATGGATCTGGACCAAACTTGACACAAATATTCCATATGCCCAAATATGAACACAGATGGAGTTTGGAGGAAATAGACCTTGACATTTGGGATTTGTAGTTACTGGGATTTATAGTTCACTACAATTAAAGAGCATTCTGAAACCCACAAATGACAGAAATGGGGCAAACTTCCCACACAGAACCCTCATGACCAACAGAAAATACTTAGAATCATAGAATCATAGAATCATAAAATCAAAGAGTTGGAAGAGACCTCATGGGCCATCCAGTCCAACCCCCTGCCAAGAAGCAGGAATATTGCATTCAAATCATCCCTGACAGATGGCCATCCAGCCTCTGTTTAAAGGCTTCCAAAGAAGGAGCCTCCACCACACTCCGGGGCAGAGAGTTCTACTGCTGAACGGCTCTCACAGTCAGGAAGTTCTTCCTCATGTTCAGATGGATGGCCATCCAGTCCAACTCTCTTCACCAGGGCAAGAAAATGTAATCAGAGCCCTCCTGACAAAGAGCCATCCAGTCATAAATATAGATAGATAGATATGATTCTCTCTCACACACACAGATATAGTATCATAGATTTGAAAGGGACCCCTAAAGAAGGACTATGATATGTTGCATATTCCAGAGTAGGCAAACCAGACGCTCTCCCCATCAACACTGACAAAGAAACAACAAGAAATACTGTTTACTCACAAGCATAAAGGAATTACATATATTAGAAACCAACACTTTCTCATTTATATTATTTTCCAGATCACTAGACTGGGCCACAGCAACGCGTGGCAGGGGACAGCTAGTTTGAAATAAAATAAAATACTTTTGATCCCAAGCATTTTGGATCAGCACTTGGCCCAGTACCACTTCTGCACAAATAAATCTCTTAAAAAGGAACTTTGTATTAAAGTTAACTTTGATACATTAATTTAAGATTTTATTTTGTTGCTATGAATATTTTTTATTTTTAAATTTGCATATTTATTAAAAAGAATAATAAAATCTATACACACACATTGAACCAATGCAATGTCTCCTATCATCAGTACCATAATTGTTCTTAATGACACCATTCCCGCCTTCCTTGTATCCCATCTTTTGGGTTACGGACACTGTTCTGTCGTGCTCTGGGACTGTAATTAATTGACTTTAAAAACAGGATGTGTAACCTTTGCCCAGCGGGAAGCCAGGGGCCTAAGGAGAAGTTCTCAGAGGTTTCCACCACAAAGAGTCTTCAGATGGCTTGAGAAGTGCAACAAAGTCTTTTATTAATGAACAATCAAACAGGAACTTCTCTTGTCTTCAGTAAAGTTAAGCAAATGATTCCAAGCTTTTAGGGAACTGGTGTATTCCTAATCTTGCCCACAAACGACAGACAACTGACTTCAATAACTTTTTCTTTAAAGGAAAATCCCCATTTTAACTTCTCCCAGGCAGACTGAAATCCAACCCTCACTGATGTGGGCTCCGCTACCGGGCCGAACTGCTTCTCGAACACTGAGTGGACCTACCAGCAAGGCAGTGGATGTTCTCCAGCTGGAGTTCTTTAGTCTTTAAGGCTGTTTGTCCTGGAAATTCTTAAAGCTGTAGGAATGCTTCCCTGGAGTTCTTAAAGGTTGAAGCTTTTGTACAGGGCAAGTTACACACATCCTATACATAAGCTAACCTGGCTGAGACTAACAAAATGGCTCACTCCCCTTCCCAATTGCCCTGAGCAAGGGGCAGGACCAAAACTTAACGATGATGGACAGGTGGCCTGCCCTATGACTGCAGCCAAAAGAAGCGACCTATCTGCAGAGTCCCTGAAACTTAGGACTACAAACAAACATGCAATGCAAAGCAAACAAAATTGGAACTCCTGGTACAGCTGTACCAGAACAGACACATTCATAAAAAATACAAATCTATACATATATGTGTGTGTATGTATGTATACACACACACACACACACACACACTAGCCGTCCCCTACCACACATTGCTGTGTCCCAGTCTGATGATCTGGAAAATAAAGTAATTAGAAAGTGTTGGTTTCTAATATATGTAACTCCTTTATGCTTGTGGGTAAACAGTATTTCTTGCTGATTCTTTGTCAGTGTTGATGTGGAGATTGTCTGGTTTGCCCACTCTGGAACATGCAACATAGAATTGCCCTTCTTTAGGATCCCTTTCAAAACTATGATACTATATCTGTGTGTGTGAATCATATCTATCTACCTATATCTATGGCTGGATGGCCCTTTGTCAGGAGGGCTTTATTACGTTTTCTTACCCTGGTGAAGGGAGTTGAAAGGGATGGCCTTTAATATATGGGTTCTGTGTGGGAAGTTTGGCCCAGTTCTCTCGTTGGTGGGGTTCAGCATGCTCTTTGATTATAGGTGAACTATAAATCCCAGCAACTACAACTCCCAAATGTCAAGGTCTATTTTCCCCACACTCCATCTGTGTTCATATTTGGACATATGGAATATTTGTGCCAAATTTGGTCCAGATCCATCATTGCTTGAGTCCACAGTGCTCTCTGGATGTAGGTGAACTACAACTCCCAAACTCAAGGTCAATGCCCACCAAACCCTTCTAGTGTTTTCTGTTGGTCATGGGAGTCCTGTGTGCCGCATGTGGTTCAATTCCATCATTGGTGGAATTCAGAATGCTCTTTGATTGTAGGTAAACTATAAATCCCAGCAACTACAACTCCCAAATTACAAAATCAATTTTTTTGAATGATGGTCACTCCTTGGGTTAGTAGGTGTCTTGTGGCCAAATTTGGTGTCAATTCATCCAGTGGTTTTTGAGTACTGTTAATCCCACAAATGAACATTACATTTTATTTATATAGATACACACACACACACAAAGCAATGCAGTATTTCCTAACATCTATACAATAATTCCCTCCTCCCTCACATCCCATTATAGTGACTGCTCATGCTTTGGGTTAGAGACAGTTGTGTACAGTTCTGTTCTTCCTTCCTATTGCAGCATTTGTTGCACTTTAGCCAGAGGAACACCTTTCCACCCAGCATCACACAAGAGTCCAATAGTTTCTACCTACAGAAGTTTATTTACAAAGCATGTACAAAAGGGGAAAAGGACATTTCCCAAAAAGCAGTAGAAAATATGCTATCAAATAGCAGTAGTCCATATATATATAGTTCAGTAGTCCAAAATAGGTACACAGGATCCAAGAAGTCCAGATCATAGGCATAAATCCATAGGCATGAATGCAGGAATGTTTCTAAGGCAAAACTCTTATAGGAACACAGGCAAACACAGGAGGCTTGAATCATGAGCATAAGGGCTGGAACAAAAACTTGATTCTATGACAATCCAGTCCAACCCCCTGCCAAGAAGCAG